GTTCTTGTTTCATAAATATCCCAATAAACGTTTAGAATGTTTCACGAAAAATCTGATGTTATTTTTTAAGTAATTATTTTCCTGGAACATTTTGATTGGCTCGTACCTACCAGGAAGAGAAATGTAAATCTTAAGACGTGTAGGTAAATAAAGACGTATTTATGATAACCTCTCGCTATTATAATATAATAATATCGTACGCCATCAAACATTTCCCCCTTGACGTGAAAGATTTAAACAACGAGTTGAATTGTTTAGAAGCATTATTTCAAGTTCTCAGTCTCCATGTGCGAGCAAGCACCCTAGCAAGCACCATAAAACATTGTCTTAAACGATATTTTATTAATATTAATTGTTTCATAGATTGTCCAATTAATTTTGATTCTCATTACATTGAATTAAAACCACGTTGAAGCCAGATTAAAAAAATAAGAGTAACGATAATTCTTATTCGTTTATTTCCATATTTTAGTAAGTTGCATTGTTTATTTTCTTATTAGTTTAGTAAGTGCACACATTGAATGACCAACCTTTCTTTGCCGACGGACGATTCGACTTTGACGTTTCAAAAGAGATTTTTTAAGGACTAATAAATCGTAATAAATGCTTTGATTTTGAAGTTGATTTCCCATGTTTAAAGCAATAAGTATGTGTGTAGGTACATTAAGAAAACGTAATTGGGTTATTTTAAGAGTACTCTCATGGATTTACGGAAAATAATTACCGAGAGCGACAAACAGCCATTCTCAACAATTGTGAATTTCAGTAACATTAAAAAAAGTTGCGAGCGACCAGAACAGAAGGTCGGTATATGTCCCTTGAGGTCACAAAGGTCGCTGGTACAGGCAGATTAGATGCAAACGATGCTACGCCGCTGATGGCTCATTTACCTCTTGAATAACGCATCGATATTAGACCTCGTAGCCTCGTCTACCCCTCTTGCGTAGGGGAGTGTCCCACTAATATGAATGTTACCTTCATGCCCCCTTTTGCTTTTTATCCACTTTAAAAATAGGGTAGAATCTATGTTCGTACGTTTTTTTTGTTGGTCCATCCATTGTCATCCGTTCCTCACAATTTTGGCCATAAATCAGGTACCTTATAATATTTTGTGTTTAAAAAAATACTTCGTACTTAATAGCCCAGGAAAATTCCCAGGACCTTACGAAAGCCACTTCTTTTTGTTTATTTTAAGTATTTGCAGCACAGAAAAGACGAAACAGGTAAAATATTTTTAATTAAAGTCGTTTTAAATATCTTCATCATAAAACAATTCGTTGCTATGGAAGATTTCTCTTTGAAGATCCCAAAACAACACATTATTTGTTTTTGCGTTGGTATTCTTAAGTACACCTATTAACACATCTCATGTTTTAATAAAATATTATTCAGGAATAACGAGATCATAAGAAAACGGCAATAAAATTAATTACGTTACAAAGTCAATTATAAATATTAAAGCGAATATCAAACTGGGGAGTAATTAATTACGTGAATCTTCAAAGGTAAGGTCGAGGCAAGATGTAATTATCTCCTAATGTTTATAAAAAACGAATTTGATTGCGTAAATTAGGTCGTAATAATAAAATTATTTTATGTGTACCTTCCTTTTTTAATTGGAAATTTAAGCTTCTGTTGCTAACGGTCCGCTTTTATGGTGTCTTTTGGAAGTTTGCAATAAACTTTTGGGAAACACTTGTATAATCCGTATAGTTATCGGGGGAGCGCAGTCTATTAGTCTGAGCCTGAAGTAGCGGAGCGGAATGCCTGATAAATTTTACTGCGTTTGCGGTTAGATAGCTGCTCGTCCCGACACTGCAGAATCTTAGAAGAATGGCTCTGCTTGCGGAATTTAGCTCGACTGAAAAGCATTCTGTTTACCGCCGGCTAAACAAACTCTTAATTCCGAGGATTTGATTCTCTAAAATTTATCTCTTCACGCCAAACAGAGTAAATGGCTTTTTACGTCATCAACTCTCATTACGAATTCAGTTTAAATTCAGTGAGGTTAACTTACGATCCAGCGTAAAGATGACTATGACATTTTATTGGGATCGGCGACCATTATTCCGAATCATCACGCGTCCCGAATCATGTTTCCTTTTTTAAGAAATACGCAGATTTATTAACATTGGTACATAATGTAAATCTTAAGATATTTTCTTATTGTTCTATAAACTAAGGTTTTATGTGCTTTCATTGACTATTATTATATAAACGTAAACACAGAAATATAATTAAACAGATATTGATTTTATTCGACTTATTTCAAGTCTAGCATTAAACCGAATAATAATAAATGTTGGGTAAAAGACAGTGGTAAAAACATGCATTTGATTTATGCTGTAGTGTACCGTATACACTGTTCCCATTCTTAAAGAATCCTCATAAACAACACCCCGATTATGCTTAGCGTTGATTTCCAATTGTTGTTCCTGTTTGCTGCGCGATCTATTTATACAATTTCTTATTTGTTTGTATTTCGTGCACATTTCTATTGTCACAGATATTTTTTATTGCGCTATATATTTAGGTTCATTTGCGGTAGTTTGTATGTAAGTGTTCATGCGTACTGTTGTGTCGGCCATCTTTCGGCCCCTCGGCGATGAGTCAACGATCCCACATGATCACACACATTATAATTCCCTTGCGTGTACTAAACTATTTTATGGAACTATGGTCACTACTTAAATGTGATGGCATGTTGTTATTTATTTATGATTTTAATAGTTTTTTATGGTCGTTCAACCAATCACGGCTGTCTTTCAATATCCCTCACCAATTAGATAGGGATTTTGTCGTGGAGAGTTCGATTAATTTTGAATATATCGAACGCACTATTCTAGACTGAAGAAGTAAGTACACGGATATGCGGATTTTATATCCAAGATAATAAGTAGCTAATTATAATTTCTAGTTTGTAGTATCTAATGATTCTTGTAATTACAGGAAGCTTTGTAGATTAACCACTTAATATAGGTAGGTTTAAAATGCCAATTTTTTTAGAGCTCGGTATTTAACTGCCATTAATTAAAAGGAATGCTAATAAAAATAACCTAAAAGTAAGTTTTTATGTTTATGATTATTAACTTTTCATCATATCATACCTATTAACTTCTTATTCTTATTCATATGATATTAACTACATATCATCTTATTTTAACTTGTTTTTTATTGCTGCTATATATGTAATCTTTATCATTGTATTTCGTGTCTTTTCTTACCCAAAATAAATATTTTATTTATCTATCTACAACACCGGACTGGATATAAAAAATCTAGAATTTCATTCTAACAGACAATCAGGTTGAAATAGGCTCAGTTTTCCTGGAAATGGGTTGACGAACAAGTTAATAAACTGGGCGTGTTATTGCATGTACTTAATAGTAAACAATGTGTGTGACGGTAAACAATATTGCCGGCACTGGATTATGTCTACATAGATACGTTTTGTTTGCTGCTGCTGAATAGAAACGATATCGAGGTTCGAAATTTAAATGTGTTCTTATTTTAGAATGCCAGTTACATAGCGACTTTTTAGATTTTAAACGTAGAAGTAGGTACGTTAAAATATTCTATTTTTAAATTAAAATATTACATTATGACGATTAAGTCTAAGTTACTATGAAATTTTGTTTCATACAAAACATTGATCAACAAAATCTAATTAGAACTGTAATCAATATACAAGAAATATACAAAAAGTTCGTTAGTAATCCAAAACAAAACCAATATCGTATGGCATAAATTCTTTATCAAATAATTCGATTTTATAATTGTACGTAGCGAACACATTTACAACCGCGTACTAAAAGAATATCGGATTACAGTGCAATCAACCGAAAGGTTTCCACATGATCATTATGAGTGTTTCATAAAATCGCCATTTAAACTGAAATTGAGCTGAGTTTCGCAAATGGTTTCATCTGCAGTCGATAATAACACGGTGAGCGACACAGATACAATCTGAACTCTATCACAATGAGAATTGTGATTGCTCCCAAACTGAACTCAGTTTGATCAAAAAATGTATTGTTGAATGATGACGAGACACATTTTTTTTCAACGATTTTCGATGAAGTTCGCTTCGCTTGACGAACGTAATGATAATAAGTTACTTTACATTTTTTAAGTGGACTTCGTTACTCAAATTAGATGTATGACCTATTTCACTATTTAAGTCTTAGTTTCTGTTTATTGATAAGGAAATTCGACGGCTAAATCCTTGTTTTATAGAAATGTTTCATGAATTACAGGTGTGTCATTGTATAAACTTTTGAAACAAAAATGAACCTTCACACTTAAGAAACTACGCTCGTTTTTAAGCAAATCTCATTGTATGTATGTGTTGTGGTACCTATAAGGGGAGCCAGCAAATCCTAGGCTAGTAACACAGTAAGCTGGCGGGTTAGTGGCCTCCCAGCCACTTTGTACCCGGAGCACGGGTCGCACTTGCGGATTTTACTGCCACTGTTCGTCCCACACCAACAAACTCCAATTTGTCAACCATGTTTACAACAAAGATTGCCTCATTGGATAACGGTGGGGATAGCCACTACCAAACATGATATTGTCTGTTTATATTGGGCTTTTCACGCCATTATAAGCAATTAAGTTACATTAGAGTTTATTAATATCGATATAAGAAATGACAAAACACTAGACTACTACCTATTTAACCATATCTAGATAGCCAAAATTTAAATAAATGTAACGGTTTTTGTATTAAATACTTGCCATATATAATAACAGTGAAAATATAAAAATAAACAGTTTCCTATGCTTATACACATATTTATAAGATCCACGCAACTAAATATTTTAATAATGATAATTCATTTATGTCGGGCACGCACAGCGCAACCGAACCTCGACATAACTACATTAGCAGCTAATTAAAAACTACGGCTCGTCCTAACTTCCCATGACAAAACCTTACATATAAAAATGTAATGGACATAATAATGTAAGACATAATGTTATTATTAGTGGTGACTCACATTGCAGCACATATGCGGCGAGCTCAGCGGCGAGGTCGAAGTTGACAGGCAGCCGACCGCGCAGGACGTCTTGCTTCAGTTGCAAGAACAACTGGTACCTGATACAAATACACATATTAATTTACAAAACAAACAACATCGAGATCAATAATTAATTTTCTCCAAACATAAAATCCTTCGCTCATTTCGTTTTCACTAACTGGCACAAGCCCGACAAACGTGTTGCGAAAAGATTGGCCTTAGAAGGAAATTAAATATTAAAAGACCATCAAGGCAAAGGTTTTCAAAGAATTTACGAGTATTAAACTGCGGCCCTTAGCTAAAGGAAGACGTTTCTTCGTGTTGTACGGACTGACATAGAAGCGGCCGGCGCCGGCGGGCGTGCACCGTCAACACCGTAATAACGAAATTTTAATAAAACATCCCCGCACCCTCTCAACATTCACAGCGAATAAAATAAAGAATAAATGGAAACTCTTCAAAATTCCACTTAACTGACTTCAATTGTAGCCTTTGTTGTAAAGTTTAAAGGAAATACGAGTAGACGAAAGTTTCTCAGCGGTTACAAAAGATATTTTAGGCAGAAATTAAATTGTAGCTCTATGGGAAAAAATTAGCAAACTCTTGTTTCAGTGAATAGGAAATATAACTCGGAGGAGCCTATTTTATAAAAGGTGTCCAATTAAAATTGTTCGTGAAATGAAATTCCTGTGTTTATGTTTCACCATTGACAGTGGAGCGCACTACGGCGCTGCACCGCCTGGCCCCATTCATTTCATCATTGCGACGTCAGTTTACGAGCTCACCGCGTTTATTGCGAGAGCACTACACCTTCTTTTGTATCCTTACTAGACTTCACTCTCTTTTATGATTATGAAATTTTAATAGTTTTGAGTATAAAAATATAGTGAGGGATGTGCTCCGTGTACCTACGAGTACGTACCTATGTACTTACAACCACACTACACGCTATCGCATATCAACAGTAATGTGTCCAGTTATATCAGTCTCTCCACAATGGAGGTCTAGTAAAGTACATAACCGAGTCATGTTGTTATTATTACGGTTAATGTAGTTGCGACATCTACTACAAAATGTGGCGACCACCTCTATAAAAGTCTTTCTACTGTCCTTGCAACGTTACACTAATTATGTCCCTCTATCTCTCAGCGTTATCTTGTTATATGTGGGAATACTGGGCCACTCTCGCAGCTCAATGTTCTTAATAATATACAAAGTTTTTATATGGGGTCATAGCTTAGCGTGAGACAAAGATATCAGAAAACATAATAGTCGTGAATAGGTGTAGCTTGAATAACAAAATACGATAGTAAAATGTTATTAGAGAAGCTCTGCAAAGCATTGTCTATAAATAAGTCAATGTCGTCATTTGCGTCCCGTGCTTCATTGAATATTAAAAAGGATATATCTGTGTCATTTTATAGCTCGTGTGTTAGACAGACAGCGGACAGAAATGTGTCGGTGTGGCGAGGTAGCGAGGTGGCGGAGCGGCGAGGTGCCGCGCTGGCGAATCGCTGACAAGGCGCATGCTAAGAACACAGATGTGTTTTATTATCACTTCCTATTTCATCCCTCACGCTCCTGAATTAATGTGCCATAATATGAATGATGTTGTGAAAGCGTTACTTACATTAGTGCCTGCGTAGCGAGACACGTGCGAGTTATACACACACACCGCACTCAACGCTTTGATGGAAAACCACATTAATAAATATCGCTCAGTATAATTTGTTAATGTTCAACCATTAATTTGATTTTCACGTGCAGTTAGCGGTTTGGCTGGAATTCATTATAATAACCGATTTTGTTTGTAAAACGAACATGTGTTTGAAAGTATTTACGTAGGTACACGTGTGTGACAGTTGGTTTGATTTGGATACCGGTCAACGTTGTACAACGATCCTATTAAAACTTGAACATGTGAGTTCCACAAACAGCGGAAGGTCGACAATAAAATCCATGTTATTGACGAAGTATTAACAAGCTTTATAAACTTTTAAATGAGGCAGCGTTCAACTTGTAATGCTATATTTCGGAACATTTATATAATTATGGCCGACTGTAATGTAATGTTCGAAACATGTTTAAATCATTTCCCGATGAGATAATGTTGATGCTATTTGCTATAGATTACTTATTTACTCTATCTGGTTGTAAACGAGCCGTTAATGTCAAATCGTACAACATAGGAAACGTCGTGAACCGCATTAAAAACATAGGTGGGTTAGGTAGCCTGAACATTTACACTGATATTTTAATTAATTGCCACAAAAGTTGCTATTCAACAATCCTCATTATCTAAATGATAAACAATGGGTGACTGTAATTGTTTTGCGTTGCCAACTCCTTTGGAACTAAGCGGTGTATATACAATGGATGACTCATACATTCCTTACTTACCGGGTAATCTCTTCTAGTAGCTTGCATGGGTCTGCCGCGTAGAATTTTACTCCGAAATAGAAAGTATGGGGATCGGAGCCTCGAAGCTGACGACGCAATCTTTTGCCCGCGTCCAGCCAATGCTGCAAAAGAAATATCATATATAAAATATCAATGTAATGGGTTTCCTCAATGATCTCGCAATGGAAGAAACTTCAGAAATGTATTAATTTCCCATCTAACATAGCAGTCGTAAATCGATTGAAGGAAATTTGTAATATTGCTGTCTGATGGCATATGTCCAATACATAAAATGTAATGTAAAACTAACATATATGCAGGTACATATGTATCATTTAAAAGTAATGATATTTTTGATCCATCATTTATAATTTATTGAAACCATATTTTAAGTACCTAGATGACCAAATACTAACTAAAACATATCATAATTATGAAACTAACCCCAACTAGAATGAACTATTTCGATATTTTAAATTGATTAATTGATATAAAACCTTTATGTTATGCGATACGCTTTTAACGTCATGAATAGATAATTCGCGCCAATTTGAATGTGGATACAATGCGTCAATTAAAACCTAAATCATTTTTGTCTATGCAAAATTCTGAAATAAAAGTTTTCGAATGTTTTTCCATTTCAAACTCCTTTGTGTTATTTCCAGACACAGATAGTACTTAGACAAGTAAAAAGTCTCCGCAGGATATAATCTTCTTATCCGATTTTGTTATGTCACCTTTGCAAAATGGCTCAACTTTGAGAGGCAAAAAGTTTAAAAATAACTTTGTTTTTTGTTAGGTGTACTTTTACTCATTGTACCTACTGTTTGGATAAATGAGTATATTTTAGGGCTTTGAAATAAGTTTTCGAAGCATTCATAGTATTGGGCAGAGATGGTTACCTCGGTCACAAAAAATATGGTTTTTGACATCTCAATAAAATTATTAAATTGGTACAAACGTATTATTAATAAAAATTCTCAGGAAACAAAAAAAACGTTAATACCACCCTATCTAGGAATCGTATTAAGACTTTTAACTGAACAGTCGTATTCGCGAAAATTCGATTTCGACACAAGAGACAATTTTTGTAATAGGCTAATTGATTGTTATGTGGGATTTGTGGATGTAAAAAAAATCTTCGTTTGGAGAATTCAAAAGAGAAATAATTATAATAATTACTGAAACCACTAAAATATTAACTAAACGGTTACTAAGATTCCATAGAAACGGTTGTGTTCCAAAAATAATTGCTAAGTAGTAGAAGGAATGGGGTGGTTTTCAGTCAGTATGAGTGCAAAAAAGTATCGTGTTAAGTAACCTTTAAAATATGACTCTGAGTACGGCTTGGCAGTTTGTAGCATTGCTTAAGTTTTACTATTTTTTTCAAATACCACACTTCGTATAAAAGCAAGAATAGTGATCAGAAAAACATCTATCTACTTAATTTAATGCTACTTAAAATATAATTTAACTAAAGCTATTACACCGTAAAATAGGAAAAAGCAACTTTAATGCTATAAAAATAAGTCTTAAATTAATATTCAAATAGTTTCCACAAGGATTTATTGATGGGTCATTGAATATTAAATGACTTACCGTTTGATTATCTTGGTCTACGTAGCGGAGACCAAAATAAGCGGTTTCTAAGAGGTCCAGGTGACGGAATACTACGTCTAGTAACGCCTGGCCGGTGTTGTTGTCCTGAAACAAAAATAATATTAAAAAACATTTGTCTAAGTTAAGTTTTCATTGTGATTATGGTTTAGAGATGTAGAGGGAGTATTGAAGTTTTTAAATAATAAGTAATTGGGTAGGTTCTTCAAGGCTAATTGAACAAAAATATAGGGAAAAGTTAATGTGTTAACTTGATATAAGTGTTGAATGTCTGAGATTGATCACAAAGTTGGCGCGGTAGTTGGGCCGAGCTAAGGTGTCTCGCGTTCGTTTCCCGCACTGAACAACTTTTGTGTATTCCAAAAATATTCAATTGTTATTTCAGGTTTGGGTGTCATGTGTTTATGAAATTGTATGTTTGTAAATGCACACAGGACAAAAAGAAGAGGGAATCCTACACATCGATTTTTCTGTAGACTCATTGGACTAGAGTTAGTTTTAAGGGACAACAATTGTGTTAAGGGGCTGAAAACAAGTCTATAAATCAATTTTGTAAAACCACTAACTGTTATTTCAGGAATAACTAAACTAGAAACCCTAGTCGTAGCATGTCAACTATGTTGGATACGATCTAAAATACCTACATAGCATAACCACGAGCCATGGGCTACGGGCCTACCCTTTGATATATCACCTTGTTCAATATTGTTAAATGACATTGTAATTCTATCCTAAATTCGATCAGTAACCGACGTGCGCCGGTCGCCGGAAACTAAACCTACTACAAATCGTTTGAGCTCGATTAAATTTAACCGCAAATCTCAGGGGAACGTAACCACAATGACGAAAGTACCTACCTCTAATGGCAATGACGAAAATGTCTCCCCTTACAACAGAATTTACGTAGACCTTATGTAAAGGGACTTTGAAGTGATGAAAATAGTTACAATACAATGTTACATTATTTTGTTAGACAAACTATTACCAAAAATATATTATGATGGTTTAATAATCTTTATTTTTTAAATTTAAATAACCTATACGCGTAAAATAGTAAAAAAATAATGTATATAATAAGTGCCAATGAGAATTTCGTTCTCTTTTTAAAAAATCAAGTCCAATACTTATTTCTGACACGATTTTTTTCTTGAATTTAGTCAGTCAATTATAATACTACTAAACCGACTTTAATAAAGCTCGGAACTCATAAGCCGTATTCTAAGATCTAAATATTTTGATTACGTACATATTCGAAAAAGAATTTAGAGAAACAGATACAGATAATTGACATTTCTACGCACAAACTCATCATGGAAAACGCTCACTTTCTTCTTTTCCCTCCCGAAAATATTCATAAATAATTTTATCTACGTTTTTAAAAAAACATAAAAAAATATTAAATAACATAATTATTTTTTTATGCAGAGTCACTAACCAACGTTTGATTTGTTCAATTCTTTTTGTGTTTTCTAAAAACCTAACAACATAGACTACAAAACTTGTAACTTAAATCCTTCTTTCGACGAATGGGTGTTTTAGTAAGTCAAATTATTTTAATATTAAAATCGAAAGCAGGTAGATAAATAAAATTTCTTTTCATAATACTATACACATATAAACAGTAAACAACATTGATCACGTTAATTAAACATTTACATGAATCGTGATTTCATACAAGCGCAAACAAGTTTCTTGACAGTCTTTGCTTAAAATATGGCCACTTATTTATTTTCTTAGGTATATATTCTTTACCATAAATAAAGCCGTAAAACATTTTCCCATAAACGTCTTGTGGACGAATAAATCACGGTCACGTGGCAAATAGTATTTTTGCATTTAGGCAAACTCAATCATCATTAGCATGCCTGAATATCTGACCTACAATGACTAGGCTAATCTAATTATTTAGAAACATTCATTTAAGGTCAATTAAGTTTCCATGCAGAACAACCATTTGAATTTGGCATAACGGCGTAGTTACCTGAATTTATCGTCCGTCCTAATTTAATTTGGCGAAAATAAGCTCTCATTATTCGTTTATCGACAGAGGAATGCCTTTTTAGACATTCTTGTCTGCGTGCAATTTAATTTTACCCAAGTTCGTTTGAATCTTATTGGGTGCTTTGTTTTTATGTGAGACTTAAATCAGTATTAAATACAATCTGGAGGTACCTAACAAGAGTATTTACTTTGTAAATGAATATTTAAAGCTATCTTGTTTCGTTTATAAACAATGATTTTAATAAATGTTCTACAAATAGAAGATTTGCAATTAAAATTAATCTATCGACGCTGTGGAAATGCATGGTTTCCGAGAAGAAACTAGATAGTGATCGGGACCGGTTATATAAAGCGTTACTGTTAGAAATCAAACGCTATCACGAGCAATAATGCAGCCGGGCTATCTCTGATTAGCATTTCTTGATGCTCAGGTTTCTACAATTAGGGTAATAGGCACGCGATGGGATTGGACCAGTAACACCAGTAGTCGACTGGCTGTGTATTGCTCACATAATGAATGGGTTCGCGTGGAACAAGCCCACTGCGCAGCTCTCACGCGCAACGTCTCACACAACACTTGCGTGCGCGCTCCACGTCCGCGTGACGTCTTAACTACACCCCAAGGTGCTACTTAACATTTTTCCCAAACAATTCCAAATTTAAGGCTACTTTTTTGTAATTTTTGAGTTTGACCACACGTTCTGAGAAGATTTAAAACGTTTTGTTTAAGATGAATAGGTGCAGAAATGTACCTAATAGATATATTTTGCAAGTGAAACTATGCCAATGTTCATGAGTTGTGAAACTTTAACACAATTTTTGCTCACAGTAGTATATTAACTACGGTTCTTTTACGACCTGTTGTTTCAGTTCGACCTTTGTTAACAATGAAGCATTGGGTTTCATTGTTTATTACCTGGCCTACAGGTGAACATTCGACGGTAAAAATTATCGCGCACAATTGGTGAATCTAAAAAAATATGATATCAGTAGTCCCAATAAAAAAGGAAGGTAGGTACGTGCCGTTGAAATAACATATCACTATAAGTGTATATATTGGGTATACGATCCTCCGTCGGCTTGTGGGAAAATTGCGAAACAGTTCGTTGGGCTGAATAATAAATGATTTAATAACAGAGCGCGTTTGCTCCCAGCGTACGTGAAGCTCGAAAAATAACAAACGATTTGAAAATCTGGCAGCACGGTGCAGTTGTGGAGAGCGACGTGCACGCGATGCTGCCGCGGGCCACGGCCGCCTGTCCTCGCGGCCTACCGCCACTAACTTCAATTTACTTTTCACTTCGTTTTAATAAACACCCAATCCCTATTCCCGTTGTCTATTCGCACTGAAAACTCATAGTTTTCGTATTACCTTCGCAATATATCACACCAATTCCCTAAACAATACTGCCAATGAAACTCCATGTTACTATATTTTTAGATCTGCAAATTCTTACCAAAACAACATTATGCTAATTGGCCGTCAGTAAATCGGATAGAAAAGAAAGTCGTCTAACTTCATCATCTTATCTAAACTAATTTGTATTGATGTCAATTTCTAGTAAAATAATGATGTATCGAATATCGCTAAATACGAAAAATTTTAATTTACTAAAATATTTCTAGTTCTCACTCAAAATATCATTAATTCTGTGTTTGGTCGTCTATTCTTCTTTATTTGAAACTGAACGGCGTGCGAGAAAATACGATAATCAACTGCACTGGCCCGAATGGACAGGTAATTGCTTGCTCCATTGTGCAGGAGGCTGATTGTCAAGGGGCAGCCAATGAAGACGTCATCAATAAAGCAGAACTAGGAACGAGGTGCATCAACGCAGTAGACCGTGAAATGCCGCCGAGTCAATTTGCCAGCACGACAATACACGTCGAAGCCCGCACCACTTGCCGCCGACACTAGGCCCGCTTCACAAATTGCTGTGCAATTCCTTGTCTTCCCCTTTACTATCCGAGCCAAATAAAACGCCGCCCCGCGTCGCTCGACACTCAATTGTCTTGACAAAAGAAAAGCTTGTTGCTTTTAGCAACTCGACACTCAATATACGTCGACGTTATTTAAATTGTTCTCCACAATTTTCATTGTAATCATATTCATTGTTACACAAATCTACAACATTTTATAATCTTTAAATCTGAATAACGGAAATTTTCCGTTTAAGTTTGCGGTATTTTTCAGGCTTTGAGTGTTGGCTTGGGATGATATCATCCCGTCGTTCAACTCGTCTACCTGTAATTTTCTATAATAAACTTAAGTATGAGCCTAACCAATTATGGGCTACGAACGGATGCTTCGACATTTCTCAAACTTTAAAAAGATCGGGTTCTATTCATTCTCAGTGATTGGTCAGATTTAAATTTATAGTATGAATGAGTTTGCGAGTTCAATACAATTTTGCTGTATAAAATGTTATCCGTGACAGAAATCCAATTCGCAGCAATCGAGGCCATAAATCTGAATATTATTTTCATCTCTTGCAAGAAAAAGTCGTCACTAAATCCGTTAAAGACAAATGTTCCTTTGTAGATAGGGAAAACTTACGAAAGGACGGTGATTTATCTAAAACATCCATACAATTTAGCGAGAAACGTCGAACTCTTGTTGGTTCCACTTTACCCAAATTGGATGATTTTAGCCCAATATATCTTGAGAATTTGTTTGACGAACAAGTTGTGGGTCTTCATACAGACTGAACAAAAGCATTTCTGCCATAAATTCCCGACTGTTTATGGTTACGTTGGAGACTTGTTTACGTATTATCTTAGAATGAGAAGCTTTAGTGGTCGTCGGGATTTTGTGTACTACCAAGTTTAAGAGATGCGGTTTTTAAGGGACAACATTAAGTATTTTATGAAAACCTTAATGACGTTGCCACGTTGGTTGACGCTAGACGATAAATACGATTTCTAGCGTATAGTAGTGTGAAGCCGTGTGTAGGTAAACATTAGGGACACACTGATAGGGCCCCAGGAAGGCGCGGACCGCTCATCGCTCGCGAGCCACTCTCACATTCACCACGCGGCGACAATGCGAGTCAAATAGAATTTAATATTCATAGAGCCGACGTACGATTCAGTGAATTCATCGCCCGCACCTTGGACCCGAGCTTCGCATATAAAAGACCTTCCTTGAGCCCCTGGGTGTACTTCAAATAATTCGTCTCGGAATAGCTGCATTTCACAAGTGTGGGTTGAGAAATGGAGAAAAATCCAAGCGTTGTTTCATGTACGAGGGAAAATTGAAAAATACTATCGACGCCCTTTGGGACTCGGGAGTGTTGAAGAGTCGTCACGGTTATGGCAGGATTCATAAAAACTCCCCTGCCGACGTCAGCTATAGGAATCGTATTATCATTATGGGATCGAAACAAAAAGTTGTGGTTGCCCGCGACCGTGATAATAGTAGCAGTAAGATGATTCTATTTACATCGTTTGACAGCAAAGTGTTACAAATTGTTTGACGAGGCAATGTAAAAATGTACCTGTATTTCATGGAGGAGTTCTCGTTCGTCGAGCAGCACCACGCGACAAGCCAGCGTGCGCGGCGCGGGGCACAGGCAGTCCATCATCCTGGCACCGCAGCCGCCGCACTCGGGCTGCCAGCCGCTATGCGACTCCTGCAACAAATGACCTCACTTAAGAAAACAAACACCAAACATTACCTCCACTACAGCCTGTTCTTAACGTGGCGATAACTTTAACCTGAAATAAGAAGCTCTTGACACAACCTTACACAGTGAAATAAAAAGTTTCTTGGAACAGTTCTAGAAATTGATTACAAGATATATACGAGAGTGCTATTCACCTTTTTAGATCAACATTGTTTCAGTACGAGTGACATAGATTGCTATTGTATAATAAAACAGTTAGAACTTCGAAAAGTTTACCCAATCTACACACGTAATTTGTTACATTATACAAGGATTGTATTTGGTTACGATCTCCAACGATATTTCAGGTAGGCCGTAAATTCTAATCCAAGAGGTAGAGTAACCTCGGTATTCTATCCACAAGGCCAGAAGTTGTTTGAAGTCAATTAAGGAGTTATTTGCAGTCAGACTCAATAGTAAAATCACCAAAGGGTTGGTCGAAACCAAATATATCCTCGTTAAAAGTTAGTCTGGTGTGGGGAGAGAGCGCGCACCCGCTTCTGTGTTTTAACAATTTTATTTTAATTAGTAGCAGCGCCCTCTCTAATAGGCGGATTTGATTCGGCTGGATTTTTACGTACACAAAAAGAAAACTGTTTTCTGTTGTAGTCTGTATAGGGGAGCATTTTGCCAAACTATGAATATGTTCATTAGCTCCGTAACTCCGAAGATACTTCAGTTTCAAAAGTGATTTTGTTTTATTTTTACTTTCGGCCAAAATCTATGTAGGTCGTAGGTATATACATACATGCATTAATTCATTTTTACTATCAATATCAGGAGTAAATAAATATAATTCAAGCTAAATTTATCACCTATTCTCATTTCCATAAAGTTAACAATCCAAATAAACAAGGTAGAGATTTTAATTTATACCTCCTCTTGTGTTAAATAAAATTCAGTTTGGCGTTGGATAAATTCTCGTTTCCCGTGTTGCGCTCTTTCCAAGTCGGTCAAGAGCGCTTGGACCCGCTCGATGGCTTTTCATTTTCATTGTTTTTCAATGTCGTTGTAAGTTTGCAGAGGACATCATAAATTAAGTAGGCTCCTCTCTTTGTGACCGTGATTGCAGTCTGTCATATTAAACAGGGCAAACTTGGAATCATTCGGATTCATTTTCCATGTATTTTTTAAGGACGACTGGGTAAAATTTCGTTTTTGTTTTAAAAAAAACGTTGTACTAGTATAACGCTCCTGTGTCGCGGGTGCATTTACAAACATACACATTACATCAAAACCCGGAACAGCACTTTGTGGATCACATCCGCGCGGGAATCAAACTTCCCAGCCACCGCGCCAACCAAAAATGCTGTTAAGGTTTCACTAACCCTCTCAACAGCAGTTTCATATCAATAACCAAACAAGAGACGTCCATTGGCATGGTGATCAAATCAAACGACTTTAATATAATATCGATATGGAATCGAAAAGGTGACCCAATAAATCACCATACATCAGGTGCCAATTTTTGTATAAAAATAAGCAAAACTGAACAACAGTTTGTAATTTTTTTTTCTATAGAGGCGTAGTTTGTAATTTTTTTCTGTAGAGGCGTATTGGATTTGCGTGTATACACACTCTAACGTTTTGATAATTCTATCAATATTTATTCACAATTCTACTATCACAACCAATGTAACTTTGAAGTACAATTGAACTGAAACTGAAATAATACTTAAAAAAACAATAAGTTTCTTTGGTGTGTTTCATTTGTTGTATATAAAACTAAACCTCTTTATTTTACCAAAAGTGAAATACTGAAGTGACCGTTAGTCCAAATAAATAACCTGACAAAAGCAGAAAACTTTAATTTGAACTGTAAAAGTCTACTCATTCTAACGCCGGCGAGTTACGAAGAAACTTATAAAAACTAGAAGGAAGAGGGACCAAGAATTGTAGAAACAAACAACAGACACGGCAACACGAGCCATTAATCCGAACGATCCCGACAGAGATTAGTGCTCCCGCTATTGACCCCACACCCCGCGCCGCGTCCCCACACGTACAAAACATTTTCCCGCCATTGTCTGACTGAGCAGGAAGTAAAAAGAGGAGTCGCGATTGACATCGTGGCTGCGCGCGGCGACCCGGCCCGGCGCCCAGCGTGCACCCCGCTCTATCGCGGTTGCACTCGATATTTGCGATTTTTCCTTTGTTTTCTTGAGAAGATACACACGAGATACGCCGATAGAATCGACGACGAACTCTAGATATCTCAATAACACGAGTCCCCGGCAATATTCTCCCGCGCCGTGCTAATGTCTCCCCACAATAATCACGCTCTCACGTATAATATTTCCCATGTGCACCGACGTAACGAGATTTAACAGTACTCAGCACACCAATGTTGGAGTACATTTTTTAATATTTACAGTAGAACACGATGCCTCTTTAGAAATATGCCTTGTTGTTACGCATAACAAGCGATTTATAAGAAACAGAATTTATAAGGCAGAGACAAAGGATTTATGAGACAAAGGAAGAGAGAATTTATTTATTCTAAGAAATTCCTCCAGGCGTTATGTTTTCTACTTTTTAGAGCGATTTTATTTCTGTAATTCCTGTGATTACGGAAATAAATATAATCTAAAGGACTTCAAAGGGCGTGGTTTTTTGTATCATGTAGCTTTTCTGAACAGGGAGGACAAACGACAAGCGAGGCAATTACGGTGTCGTTAATGGCACCGCGAGCTTGTGTAATGTCAGAGTTTAAATCCTTTTGAACGGAGAAGCAGGCCTGTTAGCATTATCACATTTACAGGTTCGGATATGATGTAAGAGGTGTGCAATCAAAACCTGATTAGTATGTAGTAAATGATTGATATAGGACGTAGTGTATAAGGCTCGGAATATGTTAGTGACAAAATGTTTCTTAGTTATTGGTGGTATAAACAGAGTGGTGCGAGCGGACGGCGCGCGGCGTCGCATGCCGACACGCACTCGCCGCGCGCATACTGATGGCGACGCGTGAGCCTTGTGACGCCTCCTGCCCCGAGTGCCGACACTATCTAAACTGCTTTATAATATAGTAAATACTGCTTATCAATTCCACTCTTGAAAAGTTTGTTGAACTGGCCCCTAATGTGTAAGCACAAGTCAATCCACTTGCGTGCCTCGTTTTAACAGCACTTAATGTGCACGGAACGGTGTTAAGCAATTACGTTTGACGTAAAATATACTAGCACGTGTGTTTAGCCATAAATGGATACTTTTATTGGTACCAGCAATTAAGTTAAAGTATCAAATTTATTTATCAATTTCTATTGAAATTATAGCTAATATTTATATTTTTATGTTGTTAAATTAAGTAATAGAAACATATGTATGTACACTAATTGCATACATCCAAATTCGAAATTTCGAGTTTCTGTTTTAATTGATTACACATTAACAACTTTGAATGATTTTATTTAAAGAAGTAATTGGTACTACTAACAACAACTCAACAATCAATTTTAATTAAGTACTTATTTTTAGTAATATATTTAATTCATAAACAGCATTTGGACTAAAGCTGAATCAATTTATATTATCTATTTAAAAAAAATATGTATCACTATAGACAAGAGTTAGTTCGCAAATTATTTTGACATCGTCCAAACAGAAACTGACATTCCTAGGCCTCAAACATAACAGTATGTTGACACCTGACTTTGTTTGAGATTTCACTAACAATTCGTCTATGACAAGCAAAAATTTTTGACACCTTCAAATCGTTTACATGGCTAGGGTTTTCATACAAACTTCAAAGTAAAAAATTATAGTAACTACTAAACCGACTTCATTGGAACTTGGTGGTCTAAAAAGTTCCAGGGTAAAATAAGATACCGCCGGGTCCGACCTGGAGCAAAAGAAGGCAAAAGGTATTTTAGTCAGTATGAGTCTGACACTCCCTCTCGCCTCGCCCTAGTCTAGAGAAAACATATGCCCCTTACAAAAAATGGCCTAAAAAGTTGAAAAAAGGTTTAGAGAGACCAGGAGAGACCATCTTATGTTTATTTTCAAACTCAAAATCTATACTTAATATTATAAAGACGTAAAATTTGTAAGTTTGTAAGTTTGTATGTCGGGAGTAATGTTTGGAACTGCTGGTCGGATTTCCAAAATTCTTTCACTGATAGATAGCTGCAATGTTCCTGAGTGCTAGGCTATAAAACATCACGCTACTATCTGTATTAGCCGAGCAGCGGGTGAAACCGCGGGAGAGTAGCTAGTCTTTTATAACTAAACTAATCATTGAGGAATCATTCGAAAATGATCCCTATTAACTTTTTAGACCTACCTTACATTGTCATGATAGTAGATCACCAAATTTCTAAGTACTTATAAGTTTTATTTGAAACTCGCTCTGCTGTTAATAATAAATAATATGTTGTGTAATATAAATCTTCGTTTACTCTTTTTATTAACTTATTACCTAAATAATTAAAATCTTTTTGTACCAAAATTACAAAAACTAACGAGCCACATATTTTGCCATTTAATTACCAACTTAAAATTCATAGAGGTAGGATGTAAAATGTCCTGAACAGGTAATAAATACATTGGTATCAATAAGCATTAAACAGGCTTGTGCTCGCACGTTGTAGTTCGTTTGACTAACGGAACGTGAATATTTCGTCCGGATTCACTGCATGAATGAGTGGCTTTGTACCAACTGCTACTAAATGACGCCGAAACTACCTACGTTTTATGAATTTCAATGGAATGCGTTTGTAGAGTGCCTAGATATTGAATGAGGGCCTCTCAAAATTACATCGACGTCCATCAATGATGTACCAAATTAATTCCCGTGATTGCTATCGCTGCAAGTTTCAACATTTTTATACATATATTTTTTTTGCATTTATTTTATTCTGTTACAAAATATCGTGTTGTTTTGCAGACTGATAGATCTTTACCAAAATAAGGTTGTAAAG